AAGAGGTAGAAGAAAAAAATTCGGAGGTAATTCGGCTAAGGGAAGGGGTAGAGGACAAAGATTGGGAGATTCGGGTTTTGCGGCAGGAATATGTTAGAGCGCGTGAGAGCCTGAAAGAGTTGGAAGACCAGAGACCAGGGGGTGGGGGCGCTATACAATTTGTCGGCTGCTCTTGGGATTCCATCGATACGATATTAGTATGGGACCATAGGGCATATTTGGTCTGGGGGGTGGTATCCGCGGTAATGGTTATATCGGCGCTGAGGCCAGTATACGCAGTATTGTGGCTTATTTCAGCCTTTTTAAGTGTGTCGGCGGTTTTTATTATATTAGGACTGGTGTATATGGGCTTTATTATGATAATAGTGTATGTGGGGGCGATAGCTATTTTATTTTTATTTGTTATGATGATGTTGGACCAGGGAAAGGAGGAAGCTCGGACGCCGATTGTGAATTTAATACCAATGGGGATGATCGTTGGGATTGCTTGTTTGTGGGTGGCAGCCGCAGGAGGAGAAGGGGTAGGGGGGGAGGCCGATATCTCGCTACAGAATCATTCCATCACTTAGAGAGGAGTGTTGCTTCTTTGCAGTCGGACATTACTGGTCTTTCTGATGATTGGGAGGACGTTGCACTATTTCAGGAATACAAACAGCGTATTGTTGGTTAAAAAACCCAACTCTGACACCTATTTGAGGAGCTACTTACTATTGGGGACTTCCCTGAAGATGACCCTTTGCTATTGCTCCACGCGGACATTGAAGGGAGATTGTTCTCTTGCTCTCATGCCATTTGAAGGCATCTTACTACAGGTAGAAGCTCTTCACCGACTCACCCTGCACCTGTTGCAGGTACTGGAGTAAAGCTATGAAAGCTGAACGTACCAAGTTTTGACGGGAAGATCTTGCACTGGATTCCATTTTGAGAGCAGTTCTGTGTGACTGTTCATAATCGAACTGATATCTCTAACACTGAGAAGCTCGTCTATCCACGACAGTCTCTATAGGATGGTACTGCGAGGAGCGTAATTGAGGGATTGTCTAGGTCAGGTGAGCTCTATACTGAAGCAGTAGACAGTTTAAAGGCCCGTTACAACAGGCGTAGATTTATTCATCAGATGCATGTAAAAAGTGCAGTTGAATTCCCTCCATTGAATGATGGTAGTGGGAAAGAGCTGCATAAGCTCTATGACACTATTCAACAGCACCTTCGTGCTCTAAAGTCCATGGGTCAAGAACCCTTAGCCTCATTTATAACTTCTATTACTGAATTAAAGCTAGATGCTACTAATATGTTTGTGTGGCAAAGACATTGTCAGTCTCATGTTGATGTGCCGCATTATTATGATATATTGCAATTTATTGACCATAGAGCACAAGCCTCTGAATCAATCAATCCAATTGTGTCTAAGAGGGAAGGCAAGGGGGCAGAGGCTACCTAAGCAATGCTCATCTTTTCCTTGCCCTGTTACATCTACTTGTATATCATGTATAACTGAGAAACATCCATTATATGTCTGTCAAACATTTAAAGAATTACGCATGATCAAAAGATTGCATTATTGAAGGCCAATAAGCTTTGTCTTAACTGCTTGACAAATGGTCATCTGGCTAAGAACTGTAGGTCTCTACACAGGTGTAAACGGTGCCATGGTTTGCATCATACTTTGTTACACATTGAGACTCACAGTTCTGAGCCAGCCTCTGTACTAAGTCCAGTATCTGCTAATAATGTAGTAAATCTCAATTCTGATTGCCTCTTGATGACTTGTAAGGTACTTTTCACTGGTCCTGATGGTTCCATTGTTGAAGCACGTCTTTTGGATAATGCTCCAGCCTCTTTCATAACCGAGCGTATTGCTCAATTATTGCATCAACCTCGTACATTTCAGATGATACCTGTGTCAGGGGTTGAAGGGCTGTCTAGTTGCATTACTAATAAATCTTTTGCACAATTTTCAGCCTCTCCTATTAGAAATTCCAAGAGAAAGTTTAGCATTACTGCCATTATTTTGCTTCAAATGACATGTGATCTGCCTGTACAGCCTGTATCATTTGATTCAGGATGGCATCATATGTCTGGGTTGACTCTTTCAGATCCCAGTTTTGGACAACCAGGTCGAATTGATGCCCTATTGGGAATTGATATCTTTATCGAGTGCATGCTTAATGGGCGTGTGACTGGCCCCCCAGGTACACCAACTGCATTCAAAACTGAATTGGGTTGAGTACTTGGTGGACTGATCAAGCCACGTCATACTAGCACTAGAGTAATGAATCACGTGTCTGTTTCTTGTTTAAATGATGTTCTTTTGAAGTTTTGGAAGATTAAGGAAGCTCCATCTGACAATTTATCTATGTCTATGGAGGATCGTATAGTTGTATAGCATTTTCGAGACAATCACTTTCGGACTCACAGTGGTACATTTGTTGTCTAACTGCCTAAGAGAGCTGGTTCTGGAGCATTGGGGAATCTAGGGCACAAGCTGTCAAAAGGTTTTTATCTCGAGCATTCTTTGATTTATAAAAGGCAGTTTGGCGAAGCAGATAAGGTAATGAGAGAGCACTTAGAATTAGGACATGCGGAGCCGGTTCCCATTTCTGATGTTGATAAGCATGTCAGTGAAGTCTTTTATCTTCCCATGCACATAGTATACAAGAGCTCCAGTACTACTACTAAAGTTAGAGCAGTTTTTGATGCTTCGGCAAAATCCTCTACTGGAATTTTCCTTAATGATACATCGTTGGTAGGCTCAACAGTTCATTCTCAGTTACTAGATGTTTTGGTTACGTTCAGGTTTTTCAGAATTCCATTGGTTACTGATGTTAGCAAGATGTATAGAACAGTTGAGCTAAATCTTGGAGACAGAAACTTGCATTGTTTTGTTTGGAAATCTAAGCGAAGTGATACTGTTCAGGACTATCGTATGACTAGACTCACTTTTGGAGTTTCAGCATCTTGCTTTGCTGCAAACATGAGTGTCATGCAAATTGCAATGGATTATGAGTCTGAATACCCAATGGCTGCTAAGATGGCTTATGAGTCTTGATGTTGATGACGGTTTGTTAGGAGCAGATAGCATTGTTGAAGCTATTCATTTAAGGAAAGAAATGCAAGAACTGTTTGTTGGGGGAGGTTTCTTACTTAGGAAGTGGAACTGTAATGTCCCTCAGGTACTTGAATCTATTGAGCCTGATCTCACAGATACACAGGAGGCACACACTATCTCAGATCTTGACTTAGAATACACTAAGACACTTGGTCTTGAGTGGAATGTCACATCTGATTGTTTTCGCATCACAGTTTCCAAAACCCCATCCACTTCTAATTTGACAAAACACACTCTTGTATCTAACAGCTAAAGTTTTGATGTTCTGGGCCTATTTTCTTCTACTACTGTAAAGATCACAATTGTTTTGCAATGTCTCTGGGAATCGAAGGTAGGCTGGGATGAGCTAGCTCCTGCTTATATTACTGAAGTGTGCTTGATATGAGAATCTGAGCTTAAGAGCCTTTCAGGATTTCGTGTTCCTAAATATTATTTCCCTGAGATTACTCACTTGTACAGATTACAGCTTCATGGCTTTAGTGATGCATCTGAGGATGCTTATGCAGCTGTAGTTTATTTTCGTTCTCAGGACTTGAATGGTACTATTGGTACCTCAATAGTGTTAGCAAAATCTAGGGTTGCACCCACTAAGAGATTGTCTGTTCCCAGGTTGGAGCTATGTGGAGCTTTAATGTTATCTCAATTATTGGATTATCTTTAAAATCTTTTTAAATTATCTATTTCCGAAGTATATGCCTGGACAGACAGTACTATTGTTTTGAATTGGTTGGAGGGGAGTCCTAGATGTTTTAAAGTTTTTGTTGGGAATAGAATTGCATCTATTATAGATCAAATACCAGCTGATCATTGGAGGCATGTACAAGGAGTGGAGAATCCAGTTGATATACCCTCTGGAGGTTTGTTTCCTCAGGAGCTGACGGCAAATGAGCTGTGGTGGAAGGGACCTTCATAGTTAATGAATGAGGAGAGTAACTGGCCTAACCTTCCACTATTGAAAGCAACCATTCCTGAAGAAGAAAAGATTGTATCTCTTGCAGCAAATGTCTTTTTCTTGCCCTATATTGCCTTATGACAAGTTCTCATCTTTTGAAAAATTACTTCGTATAACTGCATTAGTCTCTCGTTTCATTTATAATTGTAGAAACAAGAATAAGGCAAGGACATAATATCTATTGTTAGCTGAAATACATAGTGCAGAATGGTATTGGTTATATATATCTCAAAGAGATAATTTTCACAATGAAGTAAAAACTCTTAACTTAAGGGAAAGTAGCCATCTATTGGTTTTGAATCCATTTCTCGATAATTGTGTCCTTTTAAGAGTGGGAGGTCGATTATGTAATGCTAGGATAACCTATTCCAAGAGGTATTCTATCATATTACACCAGAAACATCCAATAGTAAGGATGATTATTCAATCTGAACATATTAAGTTATTACATGCAGGGCCCACACTACTAATGACATCACTGAATCACATATATTATTGGCTTTAAAAAAGCCGCTCGTTCTATCACGCGAGGGTGTGTCATTTGTAGAAGGCAGTCTGCTAGAAGTAATAACCAATAATGGGGCAACTGCCAGCTGAGAGAATCAATCCTAGTATGGTTTTTGAAAATGTCGGTATTGATTTCGCAGGCCCTCTATATATTAAATATGGTCATGTCAGAAGACCAGTTATAATCAAATCTTATATATCTGTATTTGTATCACTAAATGTGAAAGCTGTTCATTTGGAACTAGTGTCAGATATGACAAGTGAAGCATTCATTGCTTGTTTGCGTCGATTTGTTGCTCGCCATGGTCACCCAAATCAGGTTTGGAGTGATCATGGGACCAACTTTGTCGGAACAAACTGTGAATTGAAAGAATTTAATGATTTTCTATGTAATCAAAAAGTACAGTGTAGTGTATCTAAATTTGTAATTCTGTAGGTATTGATTGGAGATCATACCAGAAAAAGCATCTAATTTCGGGGGACTATGGGAAGCTACTGTGAAGAGTACGAAAATGCATCTCAAGAGTGACTAGCAACATGAAACTGACATTTGAAGAAGCCACCACGATACTCACTCAAGTAGAGGCGTGTTTGAATAGCCGCCCTTTGATGATTATTCCATCTACAGATAATGAAGAATTGAGATACTTATGCCAGGGCACTTTCTTATTAGTAAACCGTTGACTGCTATTCCTGACCTGCCTATAATAACTCAGCAACCAGTGACATTACTTCGTCGTTGGAATTTATGTCAGTCAACTGTGAGGCATTTTTGGAAGCGTTGGTCTGCTGAGTATCTTGTTCAATTGAATTGTTTTAATAAATAGAGACATCCTTCTCATAATATGGAAGTTGGAGACATAGTATTTTTGAAGAAAAACTATGTAGTGGCTACCCAATGGCCATTAGGTCATGTCTTTAGAGTCTACAAGGGTGGAGATGATTATGTTAGAGTTGTTGATTTGAAGACAGTCAGGGGAGAATTCAAACGTCCAGCAAACAAGGTCGTGGTATTACTACCTGCATCTGAATCTGGTCATGAATGAATTATCCTAACATCT